CCCCTAGATATGGCACTGGTTCTTTCTGGGGAGGGGTAAGGTAATCGTGGATATGAGTATGTTTTAATTGCAGATCTTAAAACAATGGGTGGCCACAAATGTTCTAGGTTTAATTGTTGTTTGCTTCTCTTTTTTTTTTTTTTATTATACTTTTTAACATGGATAACAAATTTCTCTGTGGGAACAGCGTGGGGGTGGGGGGAGGGCTTGTTTGAGCCACGTATCGTATGCTTCTATCATAGATGTTTATGAGTTGCATTTTTGTTATAATAAATGTTGCAATCAGGTACCGGTATGTGGTTGATAGGTATCTCTGGTTTGGGTATTCCGAGTGGGTGTTTGTGATAGTAGTTTCAGAAACTGGCAAAAACAGTTTCAGAATTATAGGTGAGGTAAATTTAGTGGCAAAACGGCCCCTACTGGATCCTCTGATTATTTCAAATGAGGAACATAGTGTTTTAAATGGGTAGTGTTTCAAATGGCGCACTTTTTAAAAATTGGTAGCACACTTTTCAAATGGGTAGCATTGTTTCAGATGGATAGCACTCTGTTTTGAATGGGTAGCACAATGTTTCAAATGGATAGCACACAGTGTTTTAAATTGGTAGCACAATATTTCAAATGGAAAGCACACAGTGTTTAAATGGGTAGCACACGTTTTAAATGGATAACATTTGTTTCAAATGGTTAGCACAATGCTTTAAAAGTGATAGCACAATGATTCAAATGGGTAGCACACTGTTTAAGTGGAGAGCACTTGTTTGAAGTGGGTAGCACAGTGTTTCAAATGGGTAGCACGATGTTTCAAAAAACCGAAGAATATACAAAGCGCTGGCGTCAATATTTCCCTAGTTGCTGGATACTTAGTTGATAAACCCGCAACTTTTCCTGATTCTTGAGGAGTATCCCTAGTCATGCTGCTTTACATACACAGTCTAATACATTCAATGCCACACCAACCTCTTAAGGTGATTATATAAGATTGAAAAATGTTAGTCTTATTATTTAAATTTTATGTTTGTTTAACTAAGAAATACCACGTCACATGTTTAGAATAATCTTTATTATTAATTGTACAGTATATTAAAATTTAATATAGGCCCCAACACTCTTGGTACATTGTGATGTAATTTCTTGCATATGTTTTTATTGTCAGCAGGTCTGGATCCCAACCAGTCACTCCTCACAAAAAATCAATTATTAGTTATTAATACAGGTTTAAACAGTAAAATGAAAGTTACAAAAAGTAGAAGAACCATTTAAATCTGACAATTCGTTGTAAAGTTACAGGAGTTAGAAATACAGATGTTTAAAGAACAGTATTTGAGAAATTAGCCTTCAATGTTTACGATTTCAGAGATTTCTCATGTACCAACATCACCAGATCCTTAAAAATTATAGTTTTAAGGTCAAAAATTGGGAAAATAACAACATAGCGTGATGTATAGATATAAGGTTAGTTTAGTGCAAAAAAATAGATTTAAAAAATGTTTACATTCCAACATGTTTGGGCCATTATATCTGAAACATGATTTGCGAGGAGTGGCTTGTGTTCACCACAATTGTTTGTGCTTCTGATTATAAAAATTATCTATAAAATGCCACTATTATAGCCCAACATTGGTTGTCTGAAAAAAAATTCCCTAAAAGTACCTCCAGTGAAATACACAGTGCCTCCAACCACAAGTTGTGTGTTGCATAATTTCCATAGCCTTGGTTGTCCAGTCAGTGGCTGGGTACATTGTTCCTTTTCTATCACTGAACTTACACCAAATACCATTTTTTGATATTTTTATTTTTGCTTTCTAATTTAGGATTTAATAAATAAGCCATCAGCTGCAATACCAAGCAGTAAACAACTTCAAAGACTGTCAGAATTGGAGGAGGTGGTAGCGGAGCAGGACAACGCCATGTCCGCACTGTCCATTAAGTTAAAACACTCTGTCACAGAGGTCGCAAAGTGGAAGCAAATTATGGAAAGAAAAACAGAAGAATTCACCAAAGCTAAACAACTGTGCGTATATTTATGAGAAGTTTTTTTTTTCTTTTTTTTTAGCCGTAGGTTTTACTGCATTTAGCTTTAAATAAACTAGTGTTGTATTGGCATACCGTAGAGTGAAATAAATTGCCTCCAGTCGAATTTGAACTTCCAACGAAAGGCTCAATGGCCTAGTTGGTTAAGGTGTTTGCATAGAGGGCAGAAGTTGGGATTCATCAGTGAATTTTCTTTCTGCCGCTAAATATTCTTCTCTTAGTTTTCAGTCACTTTTAATTATAATTTTTTTACTATTTATTCTGGTTTTATTATTATTATTATTCTGTTAGGCTTATTCATTATGTATTATTGTTGGTATTTTCACTCTAGCTTATACTTTTGTAGAACTTATCTGTTTTATTCTTTTAAGATGCACTATATCTATATAAATTATATGCCTTATACAATACTATATATATCATTGTTTTGGCTTCCTGCTTCCATCATTATAACTATGTTTTATTTGCCTTTCAATACTTTTATAGGCCCACATTTATTTAATTTACAATATTGCTTTGTATAATTTTATATATATATAATTTTTTTTTTTTTCTTTTTCATAGCCGCTTCCTGTTCTTGGTTTTAGTTATGCTTTATGTTTAGATTATCCATTAACCATGGATGAATTAATTCCTCCATGCATAAACTATAGTAATGCTTTCCTACAGTCCACCACTTGCTCATTCATTGTTCACCCTTATCACTGTTTATTTGTACATTATAATTAATCCTTTATAGACATATGCCGACTTGCTTTGACTTAATTACCGTATTGTTTCTCAAATTGTATATTGCCAAGATACTTTCTCAATATGTTCTCATTTTATGTCAAGCGTTGACAAAGACTACAGGAGTAGCTGAAATATTCGCCTAATAAATTGTAGTGTTTCTAAAGTCAACATCTTACGTATTTGAGTTTCTTTACTGTTACGTTATATTATATTGATAATAATACAAAATGATTGAAATTAAACATTTTATACGAAAAACAAGAAATACAAAACCAAGAAATAATAACGATTGTTTCAACAATAATTAAAGTAATTTCCTTTGGCTTCCTCGTTTTCTGTCTCTTATACACATCTAGATGTGTATAAGAGACAGTATATATACTATATATATATATTATATATATAGTCGTATATATATATACTACTCCTAACTGACACCTACGGTGAAAAAGCCTTTGTCTACATTTCGCCTTAACGTCGTTAAAATTTCCCCTTAATAGCGGCAGTATTTTTGCCTTAAGGAATTGTTTTTAACCCTAATGATGTATATAAATGTAAACAAATTTTATAATTTCTGTTTCAGAATGGAAAAATCTCATGACAAGGAAACTGATGAATTAAAAACAGAAATCCGAGAAACAACGGAAATACTTTATCAGAAGGAAAAACAAGTAAGTGTAACTGTGTGTCTCAAAGTTTTATTACAATGACCCCCAACAGCAGAAAAACTCTCCATAGCCTATGTTTTGGTGATTGATTGAGGATCTGGCTTCATATTGCAGTTGCTAATATTTGAGATTGAATGAGTAATCCATAATTAGATACATTAGTATGAATTGATCGATCGTTTGGATGATATAGCAATCGTTTGGTTGATTTGTAGATTGAATGATTTGATTGAAAATGTGGTTTCTCATAACAGTTGCTGAAAAGAGCCAGATGAAATGTTTGAATGGTTATTGATTAAATTAATTTATTGATCCACTGAGCAATGATTGGAAACAAAACAAAGTACAGTAGACTACCAACTTTATTTTTTAATTAGCTTTAGTCAATGCTGACATTATTATTATTATTATTATTATTATTGAATAAGAAAGCAAGATTTTTTTAAAATTTATTTCTTTACACTAATATCCTAATATTACTATTAACAATAAGTTCTACTGTCTTGTTTGCTTAAGTGTCAACGTAATTAATTTACATCAATGACCACCGAATATTCTGTTAGCAGAATGGTTGAAATTATTAATAATAATGAATACTTTATGCATATGGACCAATAATAGTTAACAACAAACTTAATTACTGTCTTATATACAAATATTATGCACATGATGCTACTCTCAAATATGAGACTGAGGAACTTGTGGAGTTGTTTTAGTTGAGAACATTTTTGACACTTTGAACCCAGAATCTTAGGATTCTATGAAAAATACACCACAAGATGTGCGCAACAAGTCATTTTTAATGTTGATCCATTCGGACTGCCACCGACAATCAACAGATGTCATCTTGTCGCATATCGCTCACAACGAGCTGAGTTTGATTCGTTGTACGCAGCGCAGTGAGTACCAGAATTTTGAGCTCCATTATACAGTCCACTGTTATGGGCTGAAATCATACAATCCAGTTCTATAATGATTGTGGGAACTTACAACAATAAAGATAGTTTCGATATCGCATTTGAGATCATCAATTTTTTTTTCTTATTTAATTGGCATAAAACAAATTGAGCACACAATTTCTTTTGCAAAAATACTACAATCCAAATTATTTTGTTTTGTTGTCAGTGATAGTGATGATAAGGGAAAATATTGGAATTTTATATACTGTATTTTTATTTTGGCATTTTCATATTCATTATATGCTCAATTCATTCCAATTCAAACAACAAATTACATATAATATATAACATCTACAAGATAACAAGAAATACTTAAACTGGCGTGCATACGAAATTGGTTGTTCATAACAAAAAAAGAAACATTTTCAGGAATTCCTTAACTACTCTAATTGGAGACTTGTCCTCTTCCAATACTGTGTTTAAAATTATGTATAGTAGGTTATTATAAAACTAATCATTATTATTGATATTCTTTTTTGAAACTAATTGAAAGTGCAATTTACACCGAAAAAAACGGATTAAAAAACCGAAAGGTCCACTGATTAATCTCAGATAAGAAAGTATAATACATACTCCAAGTATTGAAACACACGCCATCGTGTTGGGATTCAATATTTTGACATTAATTATGTCATCATCAGGAATTATATATGTATTATACCTTCAAAACAGATTCATTTCACACAAAAAGTGGACCTACACTACCTTTTGGGAGCACTGCTATATATGGAGTAAACTTCATTAATTTCTAACAAAAGTAAAGCAAGCTCCCACTACAAGATAAGTTTGCAGCAGTGGCAAATTTTATATTCAATTCAATATATTGACACTACAAACCCATAAAGGCTATTATTGGTACAATTACAATGATATACATAGTATAATATACATATATATTGTAGGAGTATATAATATACAGTATACTCATACTTACATATACCTACCTACCCCACAAGTATATAAAATGGGTCAAAGTTTACATCCTTGAATAGCCCCAGAACTTTAAGAAAGTTATTAAGAACTTAAGGTTGTGAGTTTGAAACGTGTCTTGGTATTCAATTCCTTTTCCAATTTGAAGAAATTTTTTTTTTTTTAATTGTAAGTATTTTAATTTTGTACAAACGATCATTTTAAATAACTTTTTTTCTTTTTTTTTTGTACAAATAAGCATTCTAATTATTTAAAAATTTCTATCTCATTAGCTCTTCCAAAAAACCCAATATAATTACTTGCGCCTGTATTGTATTTAAGCATGTAGGGATGCGCAGCCCAGTGAGCGGTCGTTATTGTTGGGTTGATCATTTTTATTATTTTCATGCATAATATTACCTATTTTTTGTCATTATCACAACTATTTAAATTGTTTCAGTTGGAATCAATTGGAGAAGAACTAGACAGACAGAAACAGTTGAATGCAAAAGCACCAAGCCAGACAATGAAGACCTTGGTAGATAGACTGAAAAATGACTTAGCATTAAAAGAAAAGCAACACAAGGTAGGATGATAAATATTATTACACAGGTGACCAGACCCTAGTGTTTGTCATAACATCTATGCTTTCAGTAGTTAATAACATTGGTATTAGTCCATCACTGTAAAAAGCCGTGACTCCAACAATTGGGTTTGATTTTTAATGTTTGCAGTACCAGGCTAGGCTAAAATATATGTAAAAATCAGTTAATTAATTTCAAATCGATCAACCAAGTTCTTGGGCACACGTAGATAGCATCAATGTAATATCTCTGTAAACTTTATAGACGTCACTGAGGTCTGTGAACACTAATGAGCTATTATACTGCTGTTACATTTGTTTTACATGGATATACATTCACACGCTTGTGTAAATGTTACAATTTCTTTAATTTTGCTAGATATTTGTGTGTTTAAATCAGGTATTTATCTGTTATAATTATGCTTACTGCAAAGCCTACAGACACAATACAAAACCGAGGTCCTCAATAAAATGAAAAAAATGTAATAACAAACAGTCTCTTACAAAGTGATTGTCGTTTAATATTTCTGATTCAGGGGAAAATAATGACTTTTCGGTCGTTTTTCTGCAGACCGGTAGCTATTTCACAAGGGGCATGTGTACATACTTCCGCATTCGCTAGCCGTTTGTCAGTCAGTTTGCTTTGCGGTTATATATGGAATGCCTAAATAGCAACTTTCAATCACAGTTGATTTTCAAGCAGACTTCACTGTTTCACATCATTTTAGTGGTTTCTAAATATTTTTATGTTATGAAAAATATATGAAATAGCTACCAAATCCTGTACCCAAATGCAAGGTTAATTGTCCATGAAGCATGCTTTGTAAATAATAAAACATGAACTAACCACTGCAACAAAGTAAAGAAAAAAATTAACTAGATACCATGCAACATGCAGCCTATCTTTTTCTTTTTATGAAAACTAATCACAACACTAGAGGGATAGCGAGCAAAGCGATATTAGTAAGATGAAAGAAAAAGGCCAAAGCTGTTTATTAGTGCTTGATTCACAGGGTACATCAAGAAATACAGATGCAGATTCTTCTAGACCTCCATCTTCAATAGTACATGTGACATTTTTGCCATTAGCCTCCTCAGTTACATGTATTTCTATCCAGTTTTTGTTCAATTCCATTTTCACCTGGCTTTTTATCTTGTCTGGAATATACCAATGGAAACTAGCACTCTCTGTGAAGTTGCCAACACATTTTAATCTGGCTGCTTCTTTTGCTGAAAAACACTGCTTGCCTGATATGTTAACAATGAACATGTTACTTACATTGAGTGTGACTTCTTTGCTATATGTCTTTTCCAGTTTACTATTTGAGTAGTAACAAGAATACTTTTGCCCATTTAAGTTTGGATGGGCCCTGAATGTCATTTCAATCATGATATGTGATCCATTGTTAATTATTTCACTCGTTGATTCTTTCCCAGCGAATTGCAAAATGGGTTGTGGAGATGTGTTCTCAGTTATGCAACTCACTATTACATTCTCCATAATATCATAAAACGGCTTGGATATCGTGCATATTGGATATTCTTCAGAGGGAACTTCAATTAGGTCCAAATAGGCTTTATGTGATGACACTGAAATGTTTTCAAAGTTATAGGCAGCTACGTAGTACCCCTTATCAGAGCGGATAAGTGGATTTATTCTCAATGTGAACTGTCCAGTATCTCTGTTTGCCTCATCGTACGTTATACGAGGATCACTTTTATTGACGTATATCGTATCTTTATACCAGCTAAGCATAGATCCTGGCGCTGCATCTATTAGCGTAACAGTAAAGTCGGTTGATTCGCCTTCCTTTTCAGTTACATTTTGTGGTTGGTCCAAGACTCTTGTAGCTTGTGGTTCAATGACCACAAATAAATTTGTTAAAAAGTACACAAACAACCAGATGTAAGCAAAACCAAACATTTTGATTATTTCAAATATTTAAAGTTGTTTGCAATTATACCTTTCTGTTGCTCATTCTGTAGCAGGTCATAATGATGGCACTTTCACCTTCTGATGTTGTGATGAACCTCAATTTCCTTCTTAATGTTCAGTACAACTAACTGTACAACTACAACAATGCATGCAATTCTTCTAGTAGTAAACGTATGAGGGCAGCATAATAATGTTAGGAAACTGCAGCAATGAGGCAATCACTGTTTATGCCAGCTTTATGGATTCAGGTAACATGCTTTTCATTATCACTGGTTTTTTGTATTTAAGCCGGAAGTTAAATGTAACCCTTGAGGGACAACCGTCTACCACCTACTCTAATAATTCTAGTGCCCCACAGGGCTTTGTTCTTGGATCTGTATTCTTTCTTGTCTATTATTTATTTTATTTATTTTTTAAAAGCTTTCTTTAACCAGAGAGTATCCATTCAGTGATTAGCACTGTTTTTCAAGGAAGCCCTGGTACATACAGTAAATATAACAAAAAAAAAAACATGAAATTCCAAAGTAACTAAAAGTACAGCAAAAACAATAAGATAGCCTAAAACTGAAAAGAAAGCAGACAAATGAAAACTAATAAAGAAAAATAAAAAACACAAGTTAAAATAGACTTACAGTACTATGTCTGTTTGAACAACAGAACATAAGGCTTTTCCCCATTGCTTTAATGAGAAATGAAGTTGAAATTGCAACAAAAAGAGTCTTTATAAAATAAGGTATAAAGTAAAAAACCACTGAAAACCTATATAATTTTAATTTAGTGGGAAAAATGAAGTAGTAAAAAAAAAACAAAAGAAAACCAAGTTCACTGTGATGTTATTAGTGGGAGTTGAACCATTGCACGCTATAAGTGCCGACCTTGCATAGGAAAGTGCATTTTCAGTTCATAGCAATTTCGTTACTGAAAGCAAAAATTGTTCATGCATATCACGGTAGTTTTGAGTTTAACCTAGCTGTAACTGGTTTAGGCGCTTCGAAAATATAAATTGCGTTTAAATAATATTAACTGTCAACAAAAGATCTTTAAATGGTCCTCATATCCACACCCTACTGCAGATCATCACCAAAATTGGATCATTTCTTCATTTCACCATGAAAAAGTATTCGGCAAAGTGTCATTTTTATCCATATGTAACTGGGCGCAAGCAATTTAAAAGACCCTCAAAACTGGATCGTCAATATACATAATAATATCGTCCTTGTAACTTGGGTTTAAACTTTCCCGAAAGTTTTATTCGGAACAGTTGACTGTTTTTGAAATAGGGACTTTTAGATTGTGTGGACGTGGACCTGGTTCACGTCGACTAGTCATGCGTGTCAACGTAGTCAACTATACCTGTTGACTACAAATGAAAACCTTTTAGATTTCAGTCGACATGTAGCGCGCGCTAGGCAACCTTATTAAGCAGCTGTGTCATGGCGAACCTTCATCGACTTCGCGAAATTGTCGTCTTTGCATATTCTAAAGGTGTCTTGGACGATGAGGAATTCATATTTTTATACAATACAAATAAACCCAAAAATGCCGAATTCAGGTACCGAGATTATCAGAAATTTGATCTAGACAAGTACAACAATGATGAATGTAATGCATACTTCAGGGCGCATCCGGTGCGTCAACTGCGATGATGCAGATAGTTAACAGCCTCCCCGGCCGGCTGCGCTCGCTGCGGTGCAAGTTTGCATTGCATGCACAATGGCGTAAGCACGCTCATGAACTTCCACAGCCTTTTTTGTGTTTACGAAGGCAGTAGAAATTACATAACTGCCTGTGCATTAAAAAGCAAATAATACAGATTAATTCAACACAAGTTAGAAACTTCCCCCAGACTCTGTCTGCCTCAGTTGGACGAACTTAAAGAAGGCAGCGTTGCCGCTATATTTTCATCTTCCATCTTTAAAATTCACAAGCGAGCACGGCGTCCTAGATTTAGGACGACGGGAAAAACGAGGTGAACACGTTCTCGATTTTGGTAGTGGACGAGGGAGACGACGTAACGCATGCACAGTGCCTTAAAATGACCTCATCACGTAGCAGTCTGGGACGTTTTCCTTTAATGGTCCTCATATTCACACCCTACGCCAGATCATCACAAAAATTCAGTCATTTCTTTACTGAACCTTTACAAACTACTACAAAAAGTTGCATTTACACCCATTGAAAACATTTTATAGATATTTACGTCTGGGATCTCAAAAATTTAAATGACCCTCTGATGTACACCCTGTCGCCAACACATAATACTATCTTCCTTGAAGCTTGGTTAAACTTTTTCCGAATGTTTCATTCAGATCAGTTAATCCATTTACAAAATATGTGGTCGGGGACATTTTTCTTTCGATGGTCCTCAGATCTACACCCTACTCTGCATCGTCACAAAAATTTAAGCATTTCTTTACTCAACCTTGACAAACTGTTATATACCCATTGATTTTTTCAAAAGATGTATTTAGGTCTGGGTCCTCAAAAATTGAAATAACCCTCCCATTTACACCCTTGACTGATTCGTTGCCAGCACATAATAATTTATTCCTTATAACCTTGTTAAACATTTTTTTCCAAATGTTTCATTCAGATCAGCTAATCCATTTTCAAAATATGTGGTCTGGGACGTTTTCCTTGAAATGGCACTCAAATCCACACCATACTGCGGATCGTCACAAACTTTTAATCATTTTTGTACAAGACCTTTACAAAGTATTATAGAATGTTTCATTAAGACCCATTGGTTTTTTTAAAGAGATATTTAGGTTGAAAAGACCCTCAAATTTACACCCTTCACTGGATCGTCACTAACACATAAAAATTTCTTCCTTGTAATTTGATTAAACATTCCTGCAAGTTTTCATTCAGATCAACTGACCGGTATTTGAAATATCCAGTGTAGACTGTTTGACCTTAAATCACTTTAATTGGTACGCGCACCCCACTATACAGTAGATTGACACTAAATATTATCCTTGATGTATGGCCTATGCTTCGGTAAAGCAGGGAAATTAAGCATGGGAAATGACCAAAGTGATGGACAGAAAAAAAACAGTGCAAAAAA